TACTTATACGAAGATCAGTATTTAAAGTATTTCCATATTAAAGCCTAGATTTAGCTAATGGGCCGCGGGGACCACCCATTGATCCGCCTTTTACATATTATTTTTATTATTTTTATTTTTACAATATAGAAAAGTAATGGCGTTTGTATAATTAATATAGTAGTATGACATCATGATAGAAAAATGTACAAATTGTTTTATAAAATGACAAAAGTATTTCAATTTTTAATAAAATTAATTTTAGCTGCGCGTTATATTATATTGATGTAAAATAATTATAACTTTTAAAAATATAGAATGATGGGATTCATCAATTGTATTTTTTATGAAAAATAATATTATAATTTAACTAATTAGGTTAAAAGATGGCCTCAGGGCCGTGACAAGGTTTTTTGAGGAACCAACAGATTCAGCACATTTATCGCGGTTCGGCGATTTTGCGACCTACTGAATTTTGGGACGCGCTTTCGCTTTTTCGAGGTCTCCGCGGAAAAACTAGATTATATAATAATTTATGTCGTTCGTGCATCATTTTCAATCAGTTTATTTAATATTTTTCAAAAAATTATCGTTTCAGTGTCAATATTGGGTTCCAGTTGGCACGTGGCCGAGACAGTGATCACGAGCGCTTACCGAGCTCTTTCCAAAGAACTGATCACAGCGGAGTTAGGTGCTTACGTTGGACTTGGTCACATCAACATAACCCTATGTGGTAAGGAGCTAATATTCAATTTTTTTTTTATATATATTTCATGTTGCCGACAAGGCAAACGCGCTCATGGTATATCATTGGTATCACCATACGACTATAATGGTATAGAATGTACGATATATTGTATCAATAATATTGTATYATTATGTTCAAACACGTTTTTTTGTCGTTTTACAGCTATGCCGTCTGACAACTCTTCTGTACCTTTGGAAGACATCAGCTTCAACGAACGTTTTTCTTGGTTGGGGGCTCACGAGATGGGYGAAAGTTACCAAGCAGCCTTGTACCGGGGMATGCCCTTTCCCATATTGACTGTAGCCGAATATTTTAGTCTGGGCCAAGAAGGATTTGCTTGGGGAGGTCAATATAGAGCGGCGGGATACTACGGAAGCATATTTTTATGGTAAATATAATTATTATRTATTGGATCTGTGGTAGTTAAAAGGTTAGATGGGACTTGAAAATACTGMATTTTACCTACAATAGACGTAAATAGGTCTAAAAAGTAGTCTATTTCTATATAATCCCTCTATAGATTTTTAAAACCGTATTTTCTGAATGAAAATTTAACCCTGTGATTGGCTGAACTTTGTGATTAGTAAACCATATATATCGCAAAGTTATCATAGTATATATTCTATATAATATACCAGAGTAACCCATCATATCATAAAACCCATTCCTACACAAAGCATATTTAACAGGAGTTAAAACATTAAAACATAACCATTACACATCTAAATCAAGTTTTTTCCGAAAATTAATGTTTCTTTCGGTGCAGTGCTATGATTCGCTAACCTTTTCATGATCAATAATATACGTATATACCAACACTACTGTAGGGAATGGTTAAACTCTCTAAAGGCGCTTCTCTCTCAGCCACAAACTTACGTCGTGCGTAATATCAATTAATAAAAGACTAATAATTCGTGCACATGCGACGTATTTATGTACCTTAATAATATGTATGTTTATGTTTACAGGACAGCGTTTGTGTTKTGGTTCCTGATGAACGTGCTGCTGGTTGTCGTACCGCGGTACGGGGCGTACACAATGATAGGTATGGGAAGTTTTATGGTCGGAGCCACAGTCGCCTATCACTGCATGCTTCCGTCGTCGCCTCTAGTCATACGTTTTCAGGACGACAAGTTTTTATTGTTCAGGCTGGGCTGGTGTTTCTGGCTAACACTATTCACCGGTTTGTTTTTGTCGCACGCATATTATATATAGATTTTAGACACACCCCTATCGCTTCGTCAAAATATAAATTTATCCTAATGAAGAAAAAAAATTGTAATTTGCGATCAATACATTTATCTGAGCACCAAATTTCGTCCTAAGAAATTTTAAATGAGATTATTTTTAGCCATTTTATGGCAATTTGTAGTTGTGATTTTTGCAAAAATCTTTGATTAATGATTATAAACAATTACAACGATAAAGTTTGGATTTTACACCAATAAACGCACAAAAAATTGTAATTGTTTAAATTAGGTATTGATGAAATTGAAGGCCAATTATGTCCCATGRGGCACGAGCGTAAATTACTATACCTCCTCATTTTAGAAATCAATAACTGTCATGTTACTTTATTCGTTTTATTACCTGTTTTCTGTAGGCGCAATTTACAAACGTCTATCACGTACAGTTATATTATATCATCGTGCATAATACTTTAATAATAATATGTAAGAGATAATTRTTTTATAGGATTCGGGWTTACATGTACTTTAAACTWWAACGTTATGCATTTATGCACTTATAATYATACAAATATTATTAATTAAGATCTCTGTATAAATTAAAACAAAATTTGGTTTGTAAAACTGTTTAAATTAAACTTGTTCAAAAAGGATTTATGAGATCACGAGACTACTAAATTCGAAGGAACAATGTATAGGCAACTTCATATACATTTGGCCGTCTGCTATGACGTATTACTCATAAATACGTATAACTGATGTCTGATCATTGGTGTGATACGGAGAAATAACGAAATTATATATGTTATAGATAAATTAAATATTTTCCCGGATGAAAATCAGAATAGAAGTTACGATATTTTTGAAATTAGAATGAGTAGTTTTTGATTTTTTAATAGTCACGTAACGACGTAACCCTTAAAACACATTATCTTCTGTTAATCAAATAAACAAATAATTTAATTTTAATTAAATAATTTAATATAAGAAACTGACAATGAATGTGTTGAATGTGTATTGTAAATATTAATTGAATTTAATTGTAAGGTTAAAGTACAACAAAAAATGCATTGGATGAAAATAAATTTAAAAAAAGTATATTTAATGTTTTTAATGTTTTTACTCGATGGTATGTGCTATTTATTTGTTAACTAAAAAGTTACAGTTGAGCAGTTGRCAATAATTAAATACTAATTAAATATTAATTCGAGTTACTGTTTTGTCTCCCGCAGGTCTGCTGTGCATTTCCGTCGGATTGATAATTGTGGCCATCGATTGCGTGTACCCACACAAGTTCTCCACCATTCTCGAGGTGGACTTCGACACACCGTACGACCGGCACATCATCATCGAGGACAGCATCCACCGGAAGAAACGCGTTGGCAACAAGAGTCTGGAAGAGCCCGAGGGCCTCGGCCGCAGGATACTGAGGTTGTCTAGACGCTATACCATTATTATATAGTTACAACGCAGCTAGGAAACCCGTCGGGTGGTTTTTTCACGCATGCGCATTTATTATATTATCATGATTAATACTTCGCCATTTTTTTCTCGCAGGCGACTGTCGTCCAAGAAAGATGATGACGTCAACAACCATCTGAAACGCGCAGGCGCGGACAACCGTGGCTTCGAGCTGGACCCAGCCCCGCCGAATTCGCCGTGGAGGTTTCCGTACAACAGGCCAGCAGTTCAGGGGGTGAAGTTCAACAGGACTATTTCGCAGGACTCGATGACTAGCCAAACGTCCAACTTGGCAGTCGCTTTCAACAACCGTGACAAGAGCAGATTGTCCATATTGAAAACGTCTTTGACACCCACAAGGTGATCTATGTGTTAAAATATGTGGTGTAATATCCAAAATGAGACATTTTTAAGCCAGAAATTTTGCCACTCTCGAATTTAAAAATTAACATTGATGTTATTTGTAACCATAAAGTCGTTTTTAATTAATCGTACTGAGTGGAATAATTTTTCATCAAAAAAATATTTAAATTTGAGCATATTTTTTTTTATATTTGGGCATTGAATGTTCCAAAAAATTCACAATAATCAGTGCAAACTTGAACCATTATGTTCGGAAGTCTTATTAACGATCGATTTCCATTTCAGAAACTGTGGAGATTCGTTTTTTTTTAAAACTAGTATTTCGGTTTACACACATCTTATCATAATTTGTGATATTTCTTTTTACTGAAAATATTTTTAATTAATTAAAATGTGTTTTTTTAGATCAGCGCCCGGACAAGCAGTAGTGGTAGATAGAGCCAAAGAAGTGTCCATGTGGTGAAACTTCACAAAATAATATAACTATAAATGTGCCAAGCAAAACGATTTGTGAAAATTTTTTTGAAGTCTGAWCGTATAGACATATAGATATATACATATTATGTACATATTATATATATTACAAAATGACAGTCATATAAAATTATAATTAGTTGCTATCATATTAATTATGTTGGTTTTGTCAAGTGGAACTAGTG